TTCTCGAAAAAGTAGAGCATAATTGCGCGAATATGCGGATGTTTTTCTAGGCACTTTTGTAGAGGAAACCAAGTAGATCATTTCTAGAAAGACCCTATTTGAATATTCAAATTTTATCGTGAAAAAAAAGCCGCGAAAAATCCGCAATAATTATGCATCAATCTAATATTTCTGCCGTTACTGTCTTCATCTCGAACAGTCCTCTTGAGGCCACAATTCACGATAACTTCGGGTTATCTAGCTTTTGAAGAATGATGGAAGTGATAGCCCAAAATAGTGCAGAGGGCTAAGAAATAGTGAAAGTCGGCTGTTTTGGAGAACTACTATAAAGCTATGGAGCGAGCAGTAGTAAATTCGGGGGTTGGACGAGACGACAAAAGTTGCATGGGAAGGATTTGGGTGAGCTGTTAAAATGTGTATGCCAATGCGTACAACCGGCTACAGTGAGCTACCTGAATGCAACTTGGGTGTCCCAGTGCGAAGGTGCAGTTCCCACACCCTCTACAGCGTAATGAGGACTTGTGGTGTGGGCTATGCCGGGTTTGGGTTCCTTATTGCTCCATATCTAGGCGTGGAATGGCAAAACGACGAAGCACTTGTTAAGAACCGATGAGAAAACATTTACTTATTAGCGCAAATGTGGTGATGTAGGTCTAATGTATACTACCAGTGCTAAAAAAGTACGCGACACTCATTGGTTCAAATTTCCTCTTTCATTTCATCAAGGCTTAAGCCACACTTGGAATCTACATGTTTCCAAAATTCGGAAGAATTAGAAAACACCTACATTGATTCCTTTTTTATATTTCAAACCAATGGCAGCCATAAAGGATCGGAGACTCGAATGCATCAAAATATTGGGCACCTACTACTGTTTCAAGGTGAAGAGAACCTATGGTGGCGAGGTGAATTTAGGTTCTATGAGTCCATTGTATTTCTTAGACACCTCCAGTGCCTCTTTTATGAATCTTGGAATAACACAACGACTTTCCTACGATTAAGTGCAATGCTATAGAGCTTTCTGGATTGAAACTAGCGATACATGTATTTACATAAAAAACGTGTTTTCGAGTTTATTTATGGTGGTATTTGTTGAGATTTTTGTTCGAAAAGTCAAAAGTTTATTTTAATCACCTTGTATCCGGAAGCAAATCAGTCAGTGTGAACCTGGTCCTGTCTCCTACTTTGTATCTGTTCCAGTATGCGAATTGAGGTGCTGGTTCTTGAGTAAACTGAATAACGTAGCTCTGAAAAAAAAATTCTATAATATTATAGTTTCGAAGGTGTTCCAACGTTTAATTCGCGGATAATGCTGCATTTCCTACTCCTCATNCTCCTACTTTGTATCTGTTCCAGTATGCGAATTGAGGTGCTGGTTCTTGAGTAAACTGAATAACGTAGCTCTGAAAAAAAATTCTCAATGCTGAGTGGCTAGCCTATCACCTGTTATGTATGTAAATGAGATATCCTTCTAAACATTATCGGTAATTGACTCTGAGAAAATACATTCTCTGTAGATAAAGCTGATTGCTTCATTTACCACCTATTACAGGCAGTACAGAACTGAAGGCAGGAAAAGTGATAGGAACGAATGGAAATTTTCTGGAAACTGATAGTGTCCGCTCCATAGAACAGCCATTCAAAGTGCCCATAAAGAAAAACAAGGCTTCAAAAATGATAATAAACCTTATTGAGCATGCACTGAAAGGAATGCGTCTTGATCAAGCACCTGGCAGAGACAAATGTATACACATGAAAAATTACACCAACCAACATGGTACTGAAGAGATGAACTAAGTTGAGGGCCGCATTGAATAGACAGCTCGAGTGGAACGAGCAGCACAAGAAATCTCAAATTCGCTAAGATTTCGCTAAGATTGAAATATTATAGTTTCAAAGGTGTTCCAACCTTTAATTCGCGGATAATGCTGCATTTGCTACTCCTCATTCCGAGCACCCAGCAGAAACCAATAAAAATTATTACCACTACTGGCTACTGCGAGTTCAATATGAACATAAAGCATAAAAGAATAAAATTTTTCGTGTTAATCAGTCCTTTCTGATGGAGGCGCTCTCGTTCGACTTCAACTCCGAACCGTAGTGGACCACATTGAATGCATCTGTGCTCTTACAATGAATTTCGGTGGCCAGGCGATGTTCATGTCAGTGATTTGAACCAATTAATCGACCCCGGAGGCATGGAATGCTTGCTTGGCCTAAGCGGATATTGAGCCGGGATTCAAACCCGTGACCAGGCATGTGTGAAAAGAGCCACTTGCCACTACACCACCTCTGCCTTCATGTGTATTATGAACAAACCGCTTTTGGAACGCGCCTGGCATTCGACTTCTCTCAGATCGTAGGGACGCGATGAATGCGTATGTGGCCTACACAATGACATGAGGTGGCATGTAATCCTAGACCAGTCAAGCAGCAATCAACCAAACCCAAGATGACGGAGGGTTTGGTTGGCCTGATCGGATATTGATTCGGCCCTTACCTCATAACTACTTTTTCCGGAATACTTCTACCGTCAAACTTGCTCGTCATACACTAATATTCACTTTGAGAGTCAATCTCAATCACATGCGTGCCTAGTGTTTGCTAGAGACCAAGAAACCAGAAACACTTTTTTACGAGTGTTTCTGGAACGATTTCCCAAACCTGCTTTCGAGGACCTTTTTGGACTTGGCTTCATTATGGAGCTGTGAAAAACTCAGAGACTGAACAATGAAAGTTACCTCAGCTCCATTGTTGACTTTTGGTGGACGCCATGAAACGGTTGCTGTCTCGCAACTGATGGCTTCGAGGCGGAGCGATTGGGGCACTGTACATGGCTCTAAAATAGAACATTCATTTATTGTCTGAGAGGCTAATTTTCAACTAGGCAGATGTAGGATGATCGTTTTTATGAGGAGCACGTTCGTGGAGGTTCAATATTGATTGTCTTACCTGTATACTCTTGGGCCTTCGCGGATTTGCTGGAACCATACCGTGTCGTCGTAGTCAGGCTGAATTCGTAAAGAGTGAACGACTTCAAGCCGGTGACCAAGTACTTCTCTTCGTTAATGAAATCCACGCGNTTTTTTCCCACAAGGGGATGTCCAAGAAGGCGGAGCACATGGTAGCTGAAAGGGGCAACACTCCGGGATTACGATCGATGAGTAACCTGGAACCAAGCGGGATCGTTGAACATTTGACGTGGGTTTAAAGCGAATTTTCGACGTGCGTTGTGCCTCTGTAGGGACCTGATTTACGGTTTGATCGTCCTTCTCTAACCTCGTTGGCCTAATAAAGGGGATCAGAGGGGCAAGCGATAGCTGCGTCCATCTAGTCTACGTTTTGCAACTCGTGGTGGATGGATTCCTTCAACCTCTATTAAATTAAGGGACAATGCTTGCGTTACTCCTAAAGCTAGTATCTCCTGCAGTGAAGCGATCCAGGCGATTGTTGACCGTCGATCGGTGAGCAGTGCTAGCATCGATCAGATTGCTGATATTTCGAGCCGCTACCCCCCTAGACGTGCTTAGTAGAAGGTGTTGGTACGAATCGGGTGTTGTCCATTCACTGACCGTAATGCTGCGAAAGCCCACACGCGTGCCCTTATTTACTCATATGCTGATTGCCCGGGGAATGTCCTACAAGTTTATCACCCTTGCTACCGTGTTCACACCGTTGATACAAATTTTCAATGCTTCGACTTTTTGTCGCAGGACTTATTTGCCAACCTAATATATACATTAGTAAATGAGCAACCCTGAACGTTAAATTTCATACCCTCATTGCACTTCCCATTCGTTATGGCTTCGCGGGACTGGAATGGCTCAATACAGAAACGTTCACAAGTTATTTTCAGCGATATTCGTGAACCATGGAAAGAGTGGGCTGAGACTTCAACTCGCCTTATTAGTTCGCTCAGGCTTGAACAAACACTTCTTCGCCTCCTCATCAATTAGATCGTCCTGTTCCGTACATAACTTCNTATTTCCAGCCATATTCGTGAACCATGAAAAGCGTGGGCTGAGACTCCAACTCGCCTTATTAGTTCGCTCAGGCTTGAACAAACACTTCTTCGCCTCCTCATCAATTAGATCGTCCTGTTCCGTACATAACTTCACTTCATAAGTATTAGCACTACGACTGCTACTGAGCACTTTGATCCTTTCAAATTGAAAAGGCTTGAGACTCTCTTAACTCGGAAAATATCCATTCGGAACTAGCCGTCTTATCATGAGATCAAGAAGTTGAGTAGTTCGCAGTCTTCACTTCGTAAAACTATTTTGGTTCATGTTAAAATCCGGAAATAATTGAGTTACACAGTCGACTGAAGCACAATTTGACCAAAGAAATGTTCATGACGCTTTCACATTACATCTTTTCCATAAGCACAACAAATAATCTTAGTGGCAAAGGTTTTGAAAAAGAATTTTTCGGAACAGGAGTCCTATGGAAATGGGAGTTTTCGAAAGTTTCTCACTTTCCATGTAATTAGCCCACAATATAAGCGGAACAACGCCCGCACTATATACGCCGCAAACACGTCGTTGTATTCAACAGGGGGCGTGCATGGATTACTGAACTACGCGGTGAAGGTCATACCATCTTTCGGCTGATTGTTATGATGCCAACTTACTACTCTGCTGAGCGTGCGTCGTTTTCGCTTCAAGGGATACTACGCCATAAATTTTGGATGACAGAACTTCAAAATGCAACAAATTCACATGAGGATGAGTGGTAGTGGAATATTTTCAATTTATCAGGGGTTTGTTTTTCCCCTCAATTTCCACAGTTACAATCAAAAATTTGTAGAAGAACAAACAGGCTGACAGGCCATCAGAGCAATTGATACCAACTTATATCGCATATATTGGTTATCTTTAACAGCTTGTTGCTCTGACCCACCCAATATTTCGAAGTATAATATGTATTATCATAAATCCACAGATCTCTTTACCGGAAGTTCTTTTTCACAAAAAGATCCGCTGGAAGCGAGACTACGAGGCACTACACCAATGTGGATAGGAAAAGAAGTCCTCAAATGAAAAACACCTCACTTTCCCAGACATGCAGGAGGATAAAGGGATTGGATTTAACTCGACGTAACCTTCTGTCTACTCGCAGGCTTATCCATACATGCGCTTGAAAAGACGTACGGTTATAATGCAGCACGCAGCCCTAGTCAAAAGCTTTGAGTGACTGAAAATTATCGGTGGTTCCTCTAATAAAGAAGTCCCTGGCGATTCTGAAACAGCCTAGTTAGCTACTTGGAGTCTACTCAGCTCCACTTCAAAGCCAAGTGAGCTACTCGTGGGTGGGTACCTATATGCCAAAAAATAATATAAATAGATCTCATTCTCGTGAACCTGAGGGAGAATCCATTATGGCAGCGTTGGGTAGGACCGCTGAGGAGAGGCTGTTAAAATGTCAGGGCCAAAGAACAACGATTACTACGAAAGCTTGACAAACCGTATCGAAGGGCTGCCGAGATTCAAGACCGAGATGAGTTCCATTCGTTGCCTTGACGGAACAACTGCCGAATTTTGGTGAACTATTGAGAAGATCATCTGCGAATGTTACTCGCATCACCTCGACAGCCCCGTCCTACTATGTACATAAAATTGCGACTAGGATGGATACATTGTTTTTCCTCAATTCCCCTTTTCGGAATACAAGCCATCGCATTATTATTAAGGATATGTTTGACGCCTAGTTTTTGATGAATATGAAGACCTCAATTGCTTCCCAATACTTACCGTCAAAACTGTGGCTCTATTTTTCTCGCAATACCTCGGGATGCAAAGCACCCTTGACGTGAAAAAAAAAACTAGCAAGACTGGACTGTGTAGGAAGAGATACCTCGTCGACACTGGCAATCCCTCCCAATCTGGCTGCTACCCGCAATTTATAGACTTTTCACCGAGCCATGTTAAAATGGTTGACGGAATACTGGACGAAAGAGCAAGTAGGGTTTCGGATGGGGATCAGCATGATTGATCGCATTCACCCTGTCACAAGATTCTTCGGAATATTACAAAAATACAGGATGCCGTTATGTTTTACGTTCATCGATTTGAAGACCCCCTTTAACTATTCACCTGGAAGCGGTAATTGATGCCCTGTGAACCAAGGTGTTCCTACTCAATAGATAAGGTTGATTCGTCAGCTCCACGGCAATTTCACGACCAGAAATCCAACATTCTATCAGGGAGTCATTGCCAATGCGAACAAGGAAATTCGACAGAGCGACCACTACCACTTCGCCTAAACCTTTCATCGCCGCTCTTGAAAGTGGAAGCCAATGGTTGCTGCATCACCTCTGCTACGCAGAAAGCGCGTCTATAATACGAAACATCAAATGTTGAGCGAATTCGACAATGCTTGGGTGAGGATCGGCTTGCGATTGATATCTTTCAAAGCTCTAGGTATGTGAACTTAGGTCAAATTCTACATGATGAATAAGCTAGTTCCGGACCTGAGCACAAGGAAACGTGCGGCATGGGGAGAATTCACGAGCTTCGAAGGAGTAGTGCAGAATACGAAGGAACATAGGGATTCCCGCTCATCTTTCCGGCTCTGCAGTCCTTGCCATGAGGATGTTTCTATTCATGCCCAGACATCGAAGATCAAGTGAGCTGGATAGATCATGCGGTCCCCGCGGCCACTCTAATCAGAGCCCTTGAAAGCATTAGATACCCTCACAAAAGCTGCGTTGGTGTGAAATAAATCGACCCTTTCTCTCGCAGTCAATCAGTTCTTCCAATCGAAAGTAGTTGAAAATATGCGTCTGCGAAGTTTTTGGCCAACTTAGAGGAAACACAGAGGTTGCAAGGCAAGGAAAACTCACAATGATTTTAAAATTGCATCAATTCCTTATTAGAACTCTTGTTATTAGAATTCTCTTCTCGCCACGTCGGCCATGGTTGTATTGGATAACTCAGTTCCAGAAACAACATTTTTACCTTGGCTTGTACGTTAGCGTGTACCAGTAGCGTTTTCCTTCGTCGACATACAATGGTGCACACCATCTGAGAAGCACCGAATCGGCTGTGGCATGGGAAGCGACCAGATTCCTTGGACTTCCTGGAGAGTCTGAAAGAATTGGCATAAGAGCACAAGGCCGAAGGAGATTTTGGTTACACACCTGGCAACATTTCTGGCACATTCTGGGCGAGATGTTTGAGAGCTGAAAGAACTGTGTAATATGTCGAGCTATACACACGAATGAATACCCGCTACGAAAATTAGACAAAAGCTCACCTCGCAATAGTTTTGCGGTACCTATTTTGAGTTAAATAAGTTAATTGATGGCCAGATAACCTGCATCATGGAGTAGTGAAGAAATTGCGATTTCAGGCGGAGTGCGGGTGATGTAAAGTATGCCGAAAATCACAATCAAAGTAGGGCATCGTGCAAGAAATAAAAACGGAGGTGTTAGAGGTGTATAGAAGGGGTACTTGTAGGAGATTTTGGTCGTGTGCATTTGCGTTAAGGGCTGGCTACGGTATACAAAGATTTCAAAGACTGACTCACAAGGTCGCCATGGGTCAAGACTGTATGCATTCAAATTTCTGAGACTATCGTGCTGCCATTCCCGGGTACCACTTTCCTACCACTTTGTTGTTGTTGCAATTATTCTTTCGTAATGTTGTTGAGTGCTCCCCTCTAGGCTGTATGGATATTTTTCTAACATATCTGCTCCACTGTTAATCGTGCAAACTCTACAAGACTACTTCTGGATACGGCATACAGTTCAGATAACCTTTAAATTCTTATACGTTCTTCAATATCACTAATTCGTGGTCAACCGGCGGTTTGCGACAGGCGAATTCTTCGTAAAACGTTGTTTTGATAAATTTCCCGTCAAAATGCTATAAATAGGTTGGAAAAGATATATATGTGGAGTTTTCGATCTTTTTTAATTTTTCGCTTCATTATCCCAAAATTCAAACATCGAGCCTCGAGGTGGCTGAGGTTTTAATTGCAGCTATAACAGAATCCTGAAACCTCCCTCCGAATGGGAACTTTGCTCTTAGTGTTTGAAGCCAGCTGAATCTGTTAAGGTTTTGTCATTAGAGGTATGAAAATGATCACTTTTTTATGCTTATCTCGGATATGGGGTCGCAAATAACTTTCAAATACTGTAAACAAGTTTTCCAGTTGAAGTGAAATATTTATGTTGCTGTTATATACTCAAGGAACACCCTATGTGTCTGGAAGCTCAATTATCAATCTTACTAGATATGAAGATGAAAACTAGAGAATGTATCGAATATTGCTTCATGAATATTCTTTATGAGCGGAGTTCCCCGTTGATATGGTTTCCAACTTAATCGGAGCAAAAGGTGTGACGAAGCGCCGGTTTGTAATGGATAATCCTATCGACCGTCCATTAACCACGAAGATTTAGCAGTATTGTATCTGAGCCATTCTTTGACCCGACGGCTGCCCATGCGCTATCCATGGAATCATGGATATACTTATTTCGAATTTAAAGCCACTACAAGACAACTTGAGCGAAACAAACTTCAGCGGAGCTGGGTTGGTAGCAAAAACAAGACACGCATACTTGGAGTCACATATTCACTGGGCATACTTCAATTCGGTTTTTCAGTTCGGTAATTCAGTTCTCTTGTTGTGGAACAAATGTGATAAAATGTTGTGGAGATAATATAATGTTTTAGAAATAAAAGAGATTTCTCTGCTCGCAACCCATCAGCCAGAGTTTGATGTCGAATTCTGCAGGCACGTCTGGGTAACATAATGGGATAAGGTGAAGTGTGTTCCATTCCCGCGTTAACAATAAATTCGATGTCCATTGTGAGCACGAGCATCGTCGTGATAGAGGACAGTTCCGTTCTCTTTGTTTCAACCTTATTTTGTCAACTGCTGTTACTTCACCGCAGAACGCGATTCTGTTGCTTTTGTTTTTTTTTTCTCAGTCGCTACGATGAGTTCCGAGGAACTCGGATAGTTTTAATCTCGTTGCTTTTGGGAAGGATGTGGGGACCCATTTAGCTAAGTCCCCTGCATTTACCGAGCTTTGGCAGAAGCTCAGACTACGGGCGCACCGTTTATTGGTTTAAATGGAATTTTTCGGTCAGTACCGTTTTGCCAAGCTCTCTTCTTCCTCGGAGTTCTAAATATTTCAAATTGTCGAGAACTGATAACGGCTTTTTTCTTTATTGTCCTCCAAGCTGGTTTCATCGCATTTGGAGCGCGCAAAGCACCGGGCATTTTCATCCACCGAAAGTTCTATTGACGAGAAGATAACTAACACCTGTTGACTAGGCAGTCTTCCATTTTCTTTCGTAGTGATATAGCATAACATGGCTAATGTGAATCTCATTCTCAACAAGCATTCTTATAGGTTCGATGTGTAGGGTATTTCCGTTAGGTACAGCAACTAGAACGAGAATTTACAAGCAAAAATTTGGTCTTAGAAGACGGCGGATAAGATTTTAAATGTGGTTTCAAAGCCAAGACCCAAAAAAGAGCAGTTCTAATCGCGACATCAACCTCGCTATTTCTTTTTGAACTTCACTCCACTCCAGCTCATTCCAGATTTCAGAGCAATCCAAATCACTAGGGGAAACAGCTTCAACTCTTTCGCTTGAGCATCATCACTGTGATGAAGTGAATGAGTTTTCTAGTTCTCACGTTACTGAACAAGCTGAATTGAACTCTATGCAGTCAGGCCACTGTAAAGGGTGAAGATATATGATGATAGTCTTACATTACTTTTGGATCTTCTGGAAAATTTCGTTTTAAAAAATAAGCGGCATGAACCGGAGCGGGATTAACGTAGCATTTGAAGAGATGTTCTTATTTGAAGCGACACAAACCTGTGAAACGAATGTGATGCAGCGCGGTAACAGTCTCGAAAAGTTTTCGCATGGCCTCTCTTTTCATAGCCTCAATTCGTCGCTGTTGTACTTCTTTCAGCCAAGAAAGCGGATCCTGCAACGTATTTTTCGTTGGGCACGTCGGTTCCTTTGATAAAGGACGTTGTGCAGTGAGCAAAAGAAAGATAGGGTGGCACGCAGGAAGGAGTTGAAGGAGGCAAGGTTCACAATTCTGGTGTAATGACGTCAAAGAGTCGTGAAAAAAAGAAAAAAGGCGTGTACAAGCAATGGCAGGAGAGATCCGGAAGGTATAGCTTCCCATAGGAATTCCAATAGGCTCATCTAGGCTGCTGCTTTTTACGAGAAGCTCGATAGCAAAAAAGAGAAAGGAGTAAAATTCGTCTACCGAATGATCACAGCCCTACACTGGGCTGCCCGAGATTAGGAGCAGGGGAGGCTGTAAAAAACAGCGAGAGTGCAATTTTGAGTAAACCAACTGAGGTTAAGCGCAAGTGACAAGAACATCTCGGTGAGCTTTCAAATGAAAACTTCAAACGTGAGAACAGCCCTCAAACAAAGGCGACGGCTGGCCCCATCGTACTTTGGATAGATAAGGATCGTTGTGCGCGGAGAAGCGTTGCAACTACCGAGGGATTGAGTGACTGCACGCACGATGGAATTTTGGAGCGCTAGTCGACTCAAGACTGAGGGAGCTGATTCCGATGTCACAGGTGAAACACTATCGGTGTCATATTCATAACCAGACAAAAGAATGAGAAGGAAGGAGATGGAAAAGTTTTGACTTGCTACCTAGTTTTTCTCGATCTGGGAAAAGCGTCCTACTGTCTCACACAACTCTCCCACTTCGGAGAGCGCTCAGAGAACGAAACGTTCCAGATCACCTTGTCTCCATGGTGAAGAACAGCGAGTTAAAGACAATTATAAGCATTCTTCATGGTATAACAAAGGCAATAGATGTCATGTTTGGGATGAACCAGGGACCAGCTCCGAGATTTTTTCCTCCCCCTCCGAGATTCGTCCCTCTATCTACCGACGCTAGATGTCATTGTAAAAAATCTTATGAATGGACCACCGAGGGCCACTCCCTACACCGATGACATCGCTGTGATAGCGGAGAGTAGAGAAGAGGGCAAGCTGCAGAAAATACAGGAGAATGTTCTGACGGAGAATGGGCTACTGCCGAATATGAAGAAGATCAAGTATCTGAGTTCGTAGGAGCGCTAAGAAGCAATCATGGACTGCTTCGGAAAATGGATCGAGAATGTCTATGATACGGAAAAGAACGGAGAAGGTTCATTAGAGAAGACGAACTGGATACCAATGATAATCTAGTGAAAATTTCGGGTTTATATAGTAGTCAAATACTCTGGTCAAATTGTGGTAACATCAGATTAAATCCTAGAATTTGGCGCCTAAAAGATGGTCTGTAATTGACTGTGGTAGCCCAGAACAGTCTAAGACTTCCGGAAGTGAGAAGTATGGATCAGGCTGTGAAGGCTTGAATCAACACTGCGTGGATGGAACGGAGAGGGTATATTGATATCTTCGAGCGATGGTGCTCTGGCTGCTCAAGAGAAAGGTGTTCGGAACAGCAATGAGGCTCACGATGCTCTGCACCAATGAGTGCTATGTTGGCAAGAACCACGTGAGGCAACTCCATTCTGCAGACATGAAGATGGGAATGCAGTTGGACGAGACTTAACCGTAAAGAGAACGAAAAACTCAGGAGATCATGCTAACAGCCCACAATCGGCTGAAGATGGGAGAGCGGCGTCTGCGCAGGTGTGGATACCTACTGTGATGGGTGAAGAAACATGCGATACATGAGGCAATGGAATCGAGGCTTAAGGGAAGCGAGCACCAGGGGTCCCAAAGTAAAGATGTCGACGTCGAAGATTTGATCAAGAAGGACCTCGCCGCAATCAAGGTGAGAGAAGGTCTTGTAGATAGCGTGAAGAGGAAATGGCTGAAAAAAACAGCGGGTCCGCGCGGTCAACGCTAGGGGAAAGAAGAAGAGGACATTGTAAATGGCTAGTTTCCTATGTAAATTCTGTAGACTTCATTGCTTCACTCCCAACACTTGATAGGGTTTTCATTTCTATCGTGAAAAAGGATCGTGGGCTGGTTCTATAGACAGGACAGTGCTCGACCATATTTTGTCAAACGTATGGCAAACACAAAATGAGAGGTTGGGCATATAGTGTCGCAGTCTCCATTACAGCCCAAATATGGCTTCATGAGATTTACATATCGAGAGGATCTACAACGAGAACGGAAATAGCAACCGATGAAGATTGTGGCCGTTGAGCACAATCGAAGACAGGCGCAACCGCAAAAATAATTAAGAAGCATTTGAAATGCTGGAAGGAGCGTATTGAAGTCTAAAGAGTACTGAGAAAAAACGGGCGTGTCTCATTTTTCTCTCATTCAAACAAACGGGGATCCTTGCAGCACGCGGCCTCACAGAGCGGTTTTTCGAGCGAATCGCAAAGTATGCGCTGTTTGAACTTTATTTTGTACTCCATGTTGATTTTGGACCAAAACGAGGAGATAAAAGGGAGTGCGCACCAGGTGGGGCACGCGGTACGACACAATGGAATAACCAAAGATTGACAATTACCACGAAGCCTACGTTACGCTGTGATCGGCGGACGTCGGTGTCCCACACTTTCTGTATCAATAAATAGTCTGAACGTCCGACGATCGCTCTTTAGGGTGTGCGCTGAGTGACCCAAAAGGAGGTGATTGCATAAGGCTGCATCGTTAGAACAGAGTTGCTGCGTCCTAATTTCGCAATGGAGCATCTTGACACTCGTCAGAGAGAGAGGCACATCAGTAATGCGCCCTTCTGTGTAATTCGAATCATAACAGCCCGCAATTACTTACAATATTATGTTTAACTTTGATACTTTTCAAATAGCTCTACCATGCAGCAGACTTTTTCAGGAACACTTCGCTGCATAGAGAGCATACAGCCGAGGAATTACTAACTTTCTCCCACAAAGTAATCCCAAGCGTGTTAATGCTGGATTAACAGTGCCGCGAATAGTATACTATATACTCACGTCATCCAATCTTCTGCCAAAGAAGTGCAATTTGTCAATGTAGTATGCTCCAACGACGTCTATGCAGGTCGTCGTGAGCACCAACCCCACCAGTATCAGGAGCAGCACCAGGAGAATGAACATCTCGTTGCGAGGCACAAGATCTGTCAAACACAGAATTACTTCGGTAGCTGACGACTCCGCAATTAATTTATGATCC